GACTGTTTTGTATTCACTGTCAACATAAAAACTACAAGGCTGCTACAACTACTATAGTATGCTATTAGATTTGTTCCTGCAGATGTTTGTAAAAGTGAGTAAACCGTTTTGGATAGTTTGGTTTGGCTTTCAAATCGTTGGATAATTTGCAGAAGCGATCATCAAACTGACAGCAAACCATTTATGACTATAAGAATCTACTGCAGAAAGAAACCTAGTGATATCTACCACTAATTTAATTACTATAACTACCAAACCTGCATAGTTTTTTAATTTGGAAGAATATATTATTTTCTCCTTAATAGTACATAGATACCTAGTCAAACATAAAAATTAAAAAAATTGCTCTGATAAAAAGTTCCTGATATCATGAAGGGGTTTAAACTAGAAGAACTGTAGATCTGTACAATATATAATACTGTCAGTTACTTAAAAAAAATAGTTTTACATTTACAATAAATAAATGATAGGAAGGCCAGGCCAGATAAGTTATATGATTGCTGTAAGAATAATTAATGCTCAACGCAAAAACGTATATCATTGGGAGGAATAAAATCGACCTAGTTTCTGTCAATGTCGATTAAGAAGAAGTAAGACAAATGCCATTTCTAAAATACCTAAAGGTTATATTTAATAAATGAATGTCCCAAAAAACCTTAGTGGGCAAATCTCTAGTATGGCTGGAGTAAAACAAAATGTAAAAACAATACTAGGAAGAAGATAATAAATTGTATGTCATACTAAAAGTCATGGCTATAATGCTGATTAAACGTGCTGGTTTTTTAATGTATTGAAACCCATAATAATATTAAGTACTAGTAACCGCGGATGACCTCAGCAAAAGTAGAAGAAATTTGATTATATTTTATGAAGCAGCTTTTAAACAGTTGTTCATTGTGATGATTAGGATACATTTGTTAGAGTAGGGAGTTTCAAATTATGACCTGGTCATAAAATTATGACCTGGTCATAAATATCGACTTTTGAAGCTAAACTACTACTGGTGTAATCTAGCTTGTTTGGTTAGCGGTGAAATCATGAAAGAAAGTTTTTAAAAGCAGTGATTATCAAAGTTTCTCTAAAAAAAAGACATATCCTCAACTGCGCGCGAATGGTCGATATGTGCAAGGTGTAGAGACACTGTATTCCTTAATTAGATGGATAGTTTTTTCTGAATGGTATTTAGACTAGTAAGTTAGCATGTCACCAAATATGGGAACAGTATTTGAGATAATATATAAAGTTAGGAATTTTAATGTAGATGAGTTACTAGCTGAGGGAATAGATGCCACACGCGATTTTGCCAAATCATATTTTTAGACGTAGGCACGGCACTACCTGAAGTTCTTAGGGAGGAAATTGGATAGTAAAAGCTGGGCAAGGCTAGCGACATTTAAGGATGAAGGAGCTCGATTTTAATATCTTTTACCATGATAGTACTGATGAAATAAAATAAAGACTTTGGATTCTAAATGGAACAAATGGGTTTTGCTGTATAGGGGAGTTTTCCAGTTATTTGGAAGAACACCAATACCATAAAAAAATCGACGAGAACCACTGAACGTGACGAGAACCACTGAACGTGACGAGAACCACTGAACGTGCCATATAAGATTTGAAAGGGTTAGAAAATATTACATCAAAAAATTGCTATAAATATTACCCAAATATGATGATAGTTAATAAAGCAATCTAACATCACATAATTGATTATTATTCCTATCCAACTAACTACTCAGCCAAATTTACTAACAAAATATTATTAATTTTTGTAAGAGGATAACAAGAAATAATAACATGTTAGGGAGCCAGTGACACTTCTAGGTGTGTTTTTTTCGTAAGAAAAAATTACATATTTTTTGTTTATTCTTACCTTATAGAACATGGAAATACATTGCAGTGGTGAAGACGTTTTAAAAAATCCGTTGTAGAAAATAATAGTGTCACATATTTATTTTAAATGCTCAACTTTAAATTTCGCAACACGGGTTCAATTCTTGATAAAAGAAGTCCTTTTTTTATACTTGGAAAAAATATGACAAATATAAGATACCACTATTGCTGTTTATTTATTTTAAATAAATGTTAGTTATTGTGACATAACGCCTTTACAATAACGTATGCAGATGACCTGCAAACCGAGGATTTTGAGAATATATTCTGTGAAAGAATACAAGTAACTCGCAAAATTATAGAACAAGACCATTCAATGTCTATCAATCCTAAGAATACAGAAATGGTCCTTTTCACAAGGAAAAGAATGAAAATAGAATGAAAACCTCCAGAGTTCCTAAACAAAAACCCTAGCTTGTAACAGAGGTGAAGTACGTAGGTCTAACCTTTGGCAGCAAGTTAACATAGAACTTACACTTAGAAAACAGAGTCGAAAGAGCATAAACTACTTATGAACAATGCCGCCCGCCTGCCACTCTGCAGGGAGTGCGTACCAGAAGATGAGACCATCGAGTACATTCTCTACGATTGTCCTACGCTCTCATTTAATAGAATATTTGTGTTCGGCAAGTATCGGCACCTCATGGTAACGTTGTTAACTACGCTCGTTCACGAGCTAGGAGGTGTCTCACATCCTAGGAGGATGCACAATGGGCCTAGTGAGGCCTAAGTGCAATGGGGTTGATCCACCTTCTACACGTGACATATACAAATAATGCCTACATTTAGCAATCCTTTCTCTTGTTCACACTCATTTATCTAATTTGTTGTATATCATGTAAAAAATAAACTATTTACAATTTTTGTGAACCTTTATTAAAATAGTACAATATAAATGTAGAAGTTAGATTATAAAAAAATAAAATGTATTTAAAATTAATAAACAACAATTGTTTCATTTTTCATTTTTCAAGGCTACTTTTATAGGGAATTGAAACCTGGTGGCAAAATCCAACGTTAAGCACTTAACGACCTGAGCCATGAAGGCTCATTTTAAGTTAATTATCTAATCAAATATGTGACATTAGCATATTCTACGACGACTTTTTTAAGACACTGACATTACGCGTTCCGCAACAAAGTAAGTATTTCAATATTCTACAAGATTGAACGAAAAATTAGTAAATTTCCCTTCCGCAAATGTGTATCAAAAAATATCACTGGCTCACCTACTATAAGAGGATATTGCAACCTGTCACCTCCGAAATTTGAAATTGCAATAATGGTTCTTATGTTATTTGAAGCGTGGGACTTTCTTCTTTGGATATTTGTGAAATCTTGTCTCTGTGCCAACACCACCACCACAAAAAGTTTCCGAGTCCCAAGCGAATGGACGTGCCATTCGCAAAATTGAGTGCGGAATTTTATCAATAGAGATTTTGTACACAAACTTTAGAGATATTTGTAGAATTCCACATTTAACGTCAACTTCTAAGTAATATTGAAATATAAATGTCAGCACTTTTTGAACAATTGATGTGTTATTAAAATAGAAGTATTATTATTATAAATCTTTATTAATGAATTTATTTAATCACGAATTTAATTTTCTAATGTAATTTAAATCAAATTACTGTTGACTATAAAAAAAATTGGAAATTTTGAGAGAATCATAAGTTAAATCAATGAGTCACTACAACTAAAAAAGTATTTCTTTAGGTTTAAATTATACTTTTTGTAAACACTAAAAATTGTGCAATGGTAATTAAAGAACAATCAATAATTTTTTTTTAATTAGTTGAATGGCTGTGATAGGAACCAATTAGCCAGATCAATAAAATTATAATGCTTTTTGGGAGTTTAGTAAGAAAAAGAAGAAATCTTTGGTAAATTCACATATAAAGACTCTGATAAACAGGCAGCATTAAAAATCTAAAATTAAACCAAATAAACTGCAAACTTGCCCTACAATAACAAGTTTCAAATGGTAACTTTGTAAGTCTTGAGCTAGTATGTGCCTCTGCAATACCAAATAAAGCAATAGATGTACACCTAGCGCAACCTGTCAACAAGCAAGTGAAAACTATAATAAAAGATGCTTCTCGGAATCAATAATTAAACCTCAAATCACCAAAACCTTAGGGAACAAGTTTCTTTAATTATAATCCAATATAACTTACGCAAATATCTAAATATGATGGAAATATATCAAGAAAAGTCATCTTATAGCTATGAGGACCTGCAGATGAATCAGGGAACACATTAAGAGTGCTAGAGAAATTTCTGCAATAATAAATGGATAGCTTAACAAGAAATATCTTAGTTCAAAGAAAATATGTCTTTTTTTATAGAAGGTAGCATAATAAACCATGATCATTGAACTTATCTTCGCCTTTTGACCTCTATACCAGAGTATATTAACCGTTGAGTAGCGACATAAAGGGTCGGTGCCTTTGATCTTGGGTGGTGCAAATTTTCTTTCTCTCTCTTTTGACGTTATTGACGGAACGACACAGTAAAACACTGCTCGAATTATGAACTGGTCTTGAATGTGATGTTTACACTGCTCGACCTAATTTGAAGTAAAACTCTTTTGTAGTTTACATTTATAATAATGGTTCGGTCATTAGGCAGTTTTATATTTATGAGTATTTAACTTATGTAGTAAATATAAAAATATATATCACTATTGATAAATTTCAATTTTTTTACCTACATCCGGATGAGCTAGATACTTGAAAGTTGGTAGGTGCACAGGGTTTTGATTTTTGATAACAATAGAAATTATTACTTATGGACCTTCTTATTTATTAATCGAGTTGTCTCAAACTTTAAATTTCGCGTTGTTTAAATATGTCGCTGAATACAATTTTTGACTAATACATCCACAACAACGAATTCCTATATCAGCTGCCGGACTAAAGTGAAAGGGGTTGTTTACATCTTTAGAAAACGTCTAGCCTCTCTATTTCGCGTCGGCGCACTAGAATTCGGTTCCCCAGCTGTCGCTACTCAACGGTTAATATACTTTGTCTATACTCTGTAGTCTTCATTGACAGTTTTTACTTTCAGTCTTGCAATTCATTTACCAAAGGCAGACAATTAACATGGGCAAGTAAGTCTACAATGATAGATTCGACCATAATACGACATAATAATATCTTTGCTACTTTTCGCCCATGTTTTTGTCTTTCATCTTTTCATTAAATAACTGAGGCAGCTGGAAAAATTAAAAGATTTAGATAAAAGCTCCTTTTTTATAAATAAATAGATTTCAGTTAAAGCAGTATTTAATATTTAAATTCTTGAAATAAAAACATAAACTAGGCACCTAAATATTATTTAAGGAGGTCCTTTCGCCACCAATGTTAAATAAAAAATATTAGATTATGACTAAAATTCATTTTTTTCTAATAGTAGATGTCCTTATTTATCTAATAGTGAACTTTTAACTATACCTTACCGTGCAAATTTTTGAGAAAATTTTTTTTTTAAAAATGTGTGTGTTTGTACAGTGTCTTATGAGAAAGTAAGACTTCAACAACAAGTTTCGAATTATAATTAATTTTACTATTTTTTATTAATTAGATGGAGTAGAAAAAAACTAAAAATAAGGTTTTTGAAATATTTAGGTTTTGTTTTTTACAATAAAATATATAGGTTACCGTGGAATTTATTGAGAAATTATTATTAAAAAAATCACAAAAAATTTTCAACTAGGTTACTTGAAAATTTTTTGTGATTTTTTAATATTAATTTCTCAATAAGTTCCACGTTTTACTATATATATTTTATTGTATAAAACAAAATCTAAATATTTCAAAAACCTTATTTTTAGTTTTTTTCTACTCCATCTAATCAATAAATAATAGTATAATTCGAGAATTGTTGTTGAGGACTTACTTTCTCGTGAGGCACTGTACAAATACATTTAAAAAAAATTCTCAAAAATTTGCAAGGTAAGGTATAGTTAAAAGTTCAGTATTAGATACATAAGGACTTCAACTATTAGAAAAACATTAATTTTAGTCATAATCTAATAACTTTTTTTTTAACATTTGAGGCGAGAGGTGTGGCGAAAGGACCTCCTTAAAATACAGTTTTACTAATACCATACCGCTGTTGTGTAGGAACTCATTACTTGCTGAAATATGACAGTGAATACAAAATGTTATATTTTCCTTATTATCATTATCATTGGTCAATACGTCAGATTCTCAATAAAATATCTCTTACTAAATACTAAAAGTGTGTTAAAACATTAAGCTCGATCTTCTGAGTGCCTCAATTTTTGGTTTCAGCAGTAAATACCTACTACATATTCATTTTTGGTACATTGGCGAAAAGTACCTAATATCGTGTACTACCTGAAAGTGTATAATCCTAAATTTACATAATTCATTTGTCTTTGTGCAGATGTAGATATATTGAGTGTAAATACTACTTATCTAAAAGCAGAAATCATATTTATTTTTAATTAGTGTTTATAACGAGTATATCATAATTACCATATTTTTTAAAATATTATTGAATTATTTTAAAATGTTGTACTTATACGAAATTCTTTGTTACACTCGTTATAAACGTTTTGCGAAGGGTTAAATTAACTAAATATTCTATTAACTGCATTTCAAAAAGGAAATTACTTCGAAATTAAACAATTATGTGGCATTTTGAAAGCTGGCTGTAGAGTGATCCGTCTATATTATGTCATTAAATAATCGAGTTACAATGAACCAGTGAATATAAAGTCTTGTTTCTGTACAGCCGGTACAAGAGAAGTGAAGGTAAAGAGGCAGGTAAAGTGGTATAAAAAGGTAAAATGGTATAAAAAGGAAACGGTGGTTCTTTAAGGAACTAATAAAAACCAAAGAAGGAGGAAATCATCAGTATAGTTTTAAAACGTAGTAACTAGATTCAGTATAGTACTGAGAATAACGATTTCAAAAGTTTATACTCTGATAATATCTAGCAAGTTTATGATTTTAGGAATCTTTATATTATATGGTATAATCATTATGGAAATCCTATTAATCCCTCAGCTGACTGCAAAAAAAGGTAAGTATATTTTTCCAGGCGGCGGACACATACCTGTGTAATTCAAAGCATAGTTACTCATCGATAGATAATTTCTTTTTTTGCCATTAATGAAATATATGCTTATAGCAAAAATTAAATAACCAATCACCTGGCTAAAATTCCTACACCAAAAGTAGCAAAGGATGTGCAAAGGACTCTGAACTTTTCTTGTGTAAACTGGCGATCGGTCAAATGTTTTGAAAATTTGGTGTTGTACTAAATCTAGTAACCAAAAATTTGACTAGTTTTCGATAAAGTTGAAAGGTGAACAGTTTTTGGAATTTTTATTTACAAACTTACGAGCCAGATTAAGTTTCTGTTGCATATACACGTTTTCTACATGTTTTAAAAATAAATTAGTACATACGTACAAATAAAAACATTTTTAATTACAGGGTGATTCACAAAAAATGTTTGGCGGAGTTTTTTGCAAAATCTCATTAACTCTACTGTGTTAGGGAAGCATATTTTCAAAAAGAAATAAATATGGTATTTTGGCGGCAAAATATTGCAGAGTATACATGTTTTATAGAGAGCCACAATATTAAATTATTTTTTTAAGTATAATTCAAAACCCTGTATTTATGAATTTATTTTTGAGATAGGTAATGCGACAGAAATATGTGTACCTCTAAACTTCAAAACATACAAGGTGATTTATTTATTAGAAGGTATTCTTATTTAAGAAAAGTATAAAAAGCACAAATTCTAAAATTTTTCCGGTCAAATGTAACCATTTTCTCATTATATAATAAATATTTTAACACCGTTTTAAAAGGTATTAATTTTAAATCCGATACAATGGCCAGTTTTCAAAAAACAGGGTGTTAAAGTAGAGAATTGCTAATTTTTACTATTTTTTCTTCAAACTACGAAGCCAGATTGCCTTTATGGATCCTAATATAAAAGTTTAATATAAGTTTCGCTCAGATAGTTATGTTATGTTATGTTGGGAATGGGGTGTTTACACTGCGATCTAAAAGATCTATTATGCCCCCTTCTGTTGCTAATGTACCAAGGAAATATTTCAATGCCTATAATCACCCTTCCAATTCTATGTTCTCAAGGAAGTGTAGGATTTGGATTGGCTTCAAGTTAGGTAAATCTCCCTCTTCTATTTGATATCCTCCTAGGTATAGTTCTCTTGCATTCTGGAGTGCTACACATTCAGTTAGAATGTGAATGGAGGCTTCGTCCTCCTCCTCACAGAATCTGCACCCATTATTCTCTACTACTCTCCATGGAACGGTTTAAAATATTTAAAGATACATTATGACTCACGAATAAATCAATATATTTTTACGAACACTCAATAATTTTGCAGTTCCCCCTAGAGTTAATATCTACCCATTCACAAGTTCAATGTTAAAAGATGTTGCTTTGTGTACTTTTTATACAGGGTGAGCCATGCGCCATCCACCAATGATAAATATGTTTTGAAATTATGTTTTTTTTGAGTAAGTTAGTTACAATAGGTATGTAGGGGAAAGAGGGGGAAAAACGACCAGGTGGGTAATACCGACTACGCTATTTCTTACTTGAAACACGCGCCAACGAGCTCCCCACCATATATACTTGACATCTCGTGTCCCGGCAACCCACGCGCATTCATTTCCGAGACTATTGCGAGTACATTGCGGCCATTAAAGTAAATAAACGTGTTTTTGTGTATGTTTAATAATATTTTCAACATTAGAAATAGGTATGTGTTCTTGAATATTACACGAAATATACGTATTATGTATTTTGTTATTAAAAGAGTATACTTATGATTATGTAGCAACTATTTTTTTTTCGTTCCTAATCTCATCGACAATTTTTCGTTTACAAAATAAAAATGGCTTGCCATGGTGGGTAAAGCCGACCTTGGTGGTCAGTACTTAGGACGAAATATAAAGAAACCGTAAAATTTTGAAGATAATAAATAATTTTTCAAGTAATTTGTCTCATCAATACCCAAACTGGCAATAAGAAACAGTGAAATTACCTTGGTATCTCTCTGCCTGTCCGTCTGTCACAGTCGTTTTATTTAGACGCTATTTGACATAAACAATTGAAATTTAAAGTAATCAGTGGCCAAAATTGGGCGTAACTAAGAATGTTTAGCAGAGGAAGAAGTTGGAAAGGCTTTCGGTAGGTAGAGAAGGCGTAAACGTCAAACCACGTCGAACGAGAATTTTGCAGTAACGTTTTCCTGCCAGTGTCGTTTCATAGAATAAGAACTGGACAATCGCATTTATTTATGGACTATAAATAATTATTAAACATGTATTATAATACCCAAATCATAATTCTACAAAATTTCAACAGCTATTAACAATTTATTAAACTATTTACTCAAAATTGTTATTAACATCTAAAAAATAATTTTGTACGCCTAAGTATCACGTCCACTTCGGTTAGATCCGCCGCAAGTTATGTGTATGAAGTGGGAGAACTAGCAAAAGCCTTTCCAACTTCTGCCCCTGTTATAAATAATTTGTCTTAGAAGTCAGTTGGGAGGGGGTAGAGTTTCATTTGGAAGTTAGAATTTTTTTCGTGTAATATCAAATGAAAGCAATTTGAAGCATCTTAACAATATATTATACGTTAGTTTCTTTTATTTTTTCTTTGAAAGTTTTACGAAACAACACTTAAAAATTATTGTCTTTCTAATTTATCTCCAAAAGTAACCTCCGAAAAATTTGACTGCATAAAAATTATTACGATTCTGTCCGCTGGTTAGTTTTTTATATAAAGAAATTTCGGATGGCGCTTTTGTCTTGGGCGCTTTTGTCGAGAAGCGCATTTGTCGGGGCGCTTTTGTCGGACCGCTTTTTTCGGGGCGCATTTGACGGGTCACCCTAAATAAAAATCATGCAAACCGTTTCCAAAATAATTGAGGCGTTCCATACTTAAAACTCGCTGTGTATATAGAATAGGTGTTTTATAGTTAACTTTTTGACTATCTGGAAATATGATATTTTTAAATTTTAATTACGATAAGTAATTGAAAATTTTAAAGAAGTAAAAAGTTAATTGTGCGAGAGAACTCGA